AGTATATATAAATATAAATATTAAAGCCCACCAAATAACCATTAGAATAATACAATTAACCTACTCATAATGCACCATTGACCAGCATATGTAAATGGTCTAGCTCAAACTCAATGCACATGGCCTGAAGATTGTGTTTAAGCATGAAACAGTCTTGTACCACTGGGTGTTGACCTCAAGATCTACTTTTATATATATATGTGTGTATGTATGTGTGTGTGTGTTTGTGTATATATATATATATATATATATATATATATACACACACACACAAACACATACACACATATATATACATATATAATAATAACTGTCCACTCATATTCGAGGATACCCATCTACTAGGGCAGCTAGCCAATCCTTATTGCAGATGCTCGCTCAGGTACATTTGTTATACACTGTTACATTAGAACATGTAAGTATCCACTACAAAATTGTACATTTTGTTTTAATGTTTAAATAGAACATTTCTTCAGGTGGCTAACAATGATGGTACTAAACAATCTTACTCAGAATTTAAAAAAAAAAATTATTGCTGGTAATAATTTTTACAAAAATGTATTGCTGGTATTAAAACTATTTTTACACTTTCATAGTGTTTTGCCGCCAGTTTGGGGTTTAACTATTTGCCTATAGCTGGGACCCTGACAGGTGCTACCATCCCGGGTCAGGGTGGATCTGGGAACATCAGCAATTAAGAGGTGGTTCCATGCCCATCAAAACCTCCTGATCAAATGCCTTGCTGTTGGACATAGTTTATCGTCTTAACCAGGACACACAAAAATTTGCATTTAGAATAAACATAATTATAGAAAAACTTGCATTTAGAATAAACATAATTATAAAAAAATTGCATTTAGAATAAACATGATTATAGAAAAACTTGCATTTAGAATAAACATAATTATAGAAAAATTTGTATTTAAAATAAACATAATTATAGTAAAAAAAGTGTAAAAACACACATCCACATAACTTATATACATCAAGTTACAAAGGTTGGATTATAAGTTATATACACATCTAAGTAATTATAAAAATAACACAGTTACTCACAAGCATCATGGTACATCTACATATGTAAATTATATATACAGTGTAACCCGGATATAAGAGAGTTGATGGGACTGGAGAAGAGGTCTCTTATATCCGTGTTTGGTCTAATTTATATACATTAACACAGGCTCTAATTTGGGACCAGAGAAAATCTCTCTTATATCTGGGTTTCTCTTATATCCGGGTTACTATATATATATATATATATATATATATATATATATATATATATGTTTACATATGAATAACCACATTTACAAAAAATACTACCTTATGGTTTGTATCTATTTATATATCACCATGTTTGGCACCTGAGAAAAAAATATCTTCTGCTACCTTAATTCTTGTTCTTTTATTGTTTTCTCTCTTTAATAATGTCTTTATTTTCTTATATTCTCTTGTACTCATTAATTCCTTGTGTCTTAGTGGCTTTGTTGCCTTCTTGGGGTGAAATAATTAAAAAGAAAAAAAAATTGAAAACTCAGGTGACTTAATGCTGAAATGATCTTGGAATGAAAACTTAACATTACCAATGCCGTATTAAACTGGCAGGGGTGAGTTTTAAAGTAAATATGGTCCCTGTTTCTCATATTCTTTTTAATGGCTCTATATGCAGCAATGATCATACTTACAAATAGAGATACGTACATTCACATGTTTGGGAATAATTCTGGTTTCATATGATTTTAGCTTTGTTGAATATTAGACATTTAGTTCATCTGTGACGTGATTGTCCAGCATTCATTGTTATATAAGTGGATGGATATCACTTGGCAAACCTGCACTTTTTTCTTTGTTTCTCAGCACTTTGCTTAGCTTTCGGAAGGCATCTTTTGCTAGTCCAATGCATGTTTGGATTCCATCCACTACTATAATGTTTCCCTGATAAAGTTCTGCCCTTGTTTGATGTTTTTTCCAATTTGTGACTTGCATCTTAGGATTTTTCTCTTGCTGATGTCCATACTTTGTTTTCTTGCAATTGATGGCTAGTCCTTTTTTTCTAATCTTCTTTTACTACAGCTTTTACTAATCCTTTATCCAAAATTCTTGGGATCAGAAGTGCTTTGGTTTTCAGATTTCTTCAGATTTTGGAATACAGGCTATTTAACTTGTATAAAGCATTTATAAAATGGGTCAGTTTGGGAACGGAACCCAAGTATAAACACGATATCCCATTACATTTCATAACACATCTCATGAATATATCCTGAAGGTAGTTTTATATAAGTGGCATATGTTCACTCTGATGTTGATGAATTCACTCTATCAATACACCCGTCCTGGGTATGATGATAAACTAAATCTGCGTCCAGGGTAAGATGATAAACTACATCCAACAGCAAGGCCACTGATCAGCAAGTTTTGAAGAGCGTGGAACCACCTCTTAATTGCTGGTGTTCCCAGGTCCACCCTAACCCAGGGTGGTAGCACCTGTTAGGGTCCCAGCTATGGGCAAATAGTTAAGCCCTAAACTGAGGTAATAAACCTTATGAAAGTGTAAAAATATGTTTTAATAACAGAAATACTTTGTAAAAAATAATTACCAGAAATAAATTTTTCAAGGAAAAAAACTATTGCCAGCAATATTTTTTTTGAAAAAAAAAGTATTACCAGCAATACATTTTTTTAAAATAATATTACTAGCTATGCATTTTTGAGGAAAAAAAAATATTACCAGAAATAGATTTTTGACAAAACAAAATATTACCAGGAAAAAAAGTTGTCAGCAATAAATAACCCATTGAGGTTGATATGCAGTAAAACAAAATAAACCAAACCAATCTTAACCAAAGAATACATATTCTATTTATACAAATCTATCCTAAAAATGTTGTCAACATTTAATAACCCATTGAGGTTGATATGCCGTAAAACAAAATAAACCAAAGCAATCTAAACCAAAGAATACATATTCTATTCATACGAATCTATCCTAAAAATGTTGTCGGCATTTAATAACCCATTGAGGTTGATATGCCGTAAACCAAAACAAATCAAACCAAACTAAACCAAACCAAACCAAACCATGAATACATAATCAAGATCATCGTTTTTGGCTCTTTTCCATTTTTTATTAATTTCTATTCACCACTTTCAGCATAAAACTTTAATAATTTCTCCTGTTTTCTGAGATCATATATGATGGATGTTCTAACACCAAACTCCTCAGTCAGATGCTTCACACTTACACCTCCTCTGTTTATTTTTTCCGACAGTTTGACTTTCTGTGATATTGATAAACATAATTGCTTTCTATTTTTCTTTTCACTACCCATATGGGTATTTGCAGGACTTTTTGACATTTTGAATATTTTTACTGAGCCTGAAACACCTGGTAAGTAATTCAGAAATGAAGGTGTTGCTGTGATGACCACTAACAAAAAATACGTATCTGAACTGGGGAATCCCTACCCAGGGTAGATGAAGTCAGTTAAAGCAGCTATACATCACCTAGGAACCTTCCCAGTATTTTCTGAAATTTTCTATTTTTGGCAAATCATCTCAGAACCTGAAAAACATTTGTATTATGGAGGTTTTCGGATTTTGGAACTTCAGATAAAGGATACTCAACATGTATTTTGTCTTAGAAGGTCCCCATAGTTTTCTTTCTGTGTCTGTTATCAAAACAGTGTCATCTGCATATTTTATCTTGTTAAGATTATGGCCACCGATAATAAATCCAGGTAAGGTCTCCAGCTTTCTTATGATAACATCTCTGTAGAGGTTGAATAAATCTGGGGAGGAGATACGTCTTTGTCTTTATCATTTAATCTTCAAAATCAAAGTACAATTATATTTTATTCTATTGTATATTCACCATTATTTGCAATGACTTGTTGCGGATTATCAGGCAGCTGTTCAATAACTTTTCAATAAAATTCTACAGGTTTTGATATTAAAATGTTTTTGAATTCAGTTGTCATTAGACTTTGCCACGCTGCCGGTGAAAATTGTCACTGTAGCAGAGAGTTTGACCAGCACAGCTGGAAATAAATCTCCGACTGCAGATCAACATACAGTATTTACTACTGTATTTATTTGAATGGGCACATACCCATTATTGTCCGTAGGAATGCTACAACAGATAATATTATCATTTTTTTTTTTTTATAAAATACATAAAAATAAATCACATTAAATGAGGGGGTGTTTTGAATATTCAAAATAAAAAAAAATATTCCATCTTAAATAAATCAAAAATCTTTTGTGGCAATTTTTAACATCATCTTGAGATTTTTATTGTTTAAAAATTTGAATAATTTTAACATATTCAACATTATGGATAAAAATAGTGAATTTTATATAATGTTTTTTCGGCACTTAGTATGAGCAAAACAAATTCACGGAATTGGACAAAAAAAAAGAAGAAAAGAACTCAGAATGACTTCAAGATTCACGAAAAAATCATTTAATAGTCAGTTGGTCTTAGTTTAATTTGTAATGAATAAAAAATGTAGGTAGATAAAAGCAAATATTAAGATAATGAGTGTTACAAAGCACTGCCCAGGGACCCCAATTAGGCTTGGGCTCCACTCATTTGGGAGGTATGAGGGTAGTATGCACCGGCCATGTATTTAAGAACAGTTACAGATACATTTTTCATTACGATTAGTTCCTCAAAATAGTAATTACTTATGATTTAACCTAATATTTTGTACGGAAACATAATAGGAGTAAAGGTAAGCTTTTAATAAATGTTAGAAATAATTGCCTCAAACTTATTTTCATGAATATGGGTTTTGTATAAAAAATGTAACTTCCAATCAACAGAAGTAGAGCAGAGTTAAGAGGTCTTTATATTAATGATCTTATTCATTATGTGTAGATATTTGCAAGATTAATCATGAAGGTTCAGAAAAGCAGATTTGGAACACAGCAGTTTCTGTAATGACATAATCCTGGCAACGATCATTAAAGAATTCTTTCATTAGTGCTTTCTGCATATGTTATCTTTCTTTCTATCTTTATTTCGAATATTTTCATCTCTCACTTTCTTCTTTCTAGCATTGATGGTTTTGTAATGTTTTTCTTTCTTACTCTTCCCCTTTTCTTCTTTTTAACATTTTTGTTCCTCTGTTTTCTTTTTTTTAAATCTTTTCCTCTCTTTCCCTTTTTTCTAACTTTTTACCTTTTTTATTTTTCTTCCCTTTCTAATCCTTTTCTTTCTTTCTTATTCTAACTTCCTCTCTCTCTCTCTCTCTTTCTCTCTCTGTTTCTCATTATAACCTTTGGTCTCGCCGTCTTTCTTTCATATTCCAAGATTTTCTCATTTGAAAATTTTCTCTCTTTGTAAACTTTTCTTTATCCCTCTCTTTGTAAACTTTCTTTCTTTCTTCCTTTCTTTCTTTCTTTCTTTATTTCTTATTCTAACTTTCTCTCTCTCTATATATCACATTATAACCTTTGCTCTCGCCTTCTTTCTTTCATATTCAAAGATATTCTCTTTTGAACATTTTCTCTCTTTGTAAACTTTCTTTATCCCTCTCTTTGGAAACTTTCTTTTTTTCTTTCTTTCTCATTCTAATTCTCTCTCTCTCTCTCTCTTTCTCTTCCCCCTCTCTCTCTCATTATAACCTTTGGTCTCACCTTCTTTCTTTCACGTTCCAAGATTTTCTCTTTTTAACATTTTCTCTCTTTGTAATCTTTTTTTATCCCTCACTTTGTAAACGTTCTTCTTTTCTTTCTTCCTTTCTTTCTCGTTCTAACTTACTCTCTCTCTCTCTCTCTCTCTCTCTCATTATAACCTTTTTCTCTCCTTTCTTTCATATTCCAAGATTTTCTCTTTTTACATTCTCTTTGTAACCTTTCTTTCTTTAACCTTTTCTAACCTTTTTTTTCTTAGTTTCTACATTTTAGCTGTTTTTCTTTTGTAACTGTAGTGATATGTAAATGACTGCCTAATTAGCATAGCTAAGGCTTAGAGACTATATGTGACCAAGCAGTAAGGGAAGTGGATTACAATACGTGAGATGAGGGCATTTTCACATGGTGCAATGGTTAGCAAACTTGTCTCGCTAGAATACTTACAACAGATTAGTGAGTTCAATACTCACCAGGTGCTTCTTACCTTTGTCCTTGTGCCACATCTAAGTTATTCTTAGTAAATCACGAAAGATTAATAACTACAGCATGTACTGGCAAAACACGAAAGAAAACGCATTACATAAAAGTAACGCATTGATTTCTTTCTCTTTCTAACCTTTCGTCTCTGTTTCTATCTCTTTCTAATCTTTCCTCCCTCTCTTCGTCTTTCTAACCTTTCTTCTTTGTTTCTATCTCTTTCTAATCTTTCCTTCCTCTCTTTCTCTTTCTAACCTTTCCTCTCTACTTCTATCTCTTTCTAAACTTTCCTCTCTATCTCTATCTCTTTCTAATCTTTCCTTCCTCTCTTTCTCCTTCTAAACTTCCCACTCTGTTTCTACCTCTTTCTAATCTTTCCTCCCTCACTTTCTCTTTCTAACCTTTCCTCTCGGTTTCTATTTCTTTCTAATCTTTCTTCCCTCTCTATCCCTTTCTAACCTTTCCACACGTTTCTCTCTCTTGCTAATCTTTCCTCCCTTTCTTTCTCTTTCTAACCCTTTCCATCTGTTTCTATCGCTTTCTAATTTTTTCTCCCTCTCTTTCTAACTTATCCTCTCACACTCATTCTTTTTATTTTAAGGTTTTCTCTTTTGACCTTTTCTCTCCCATTTCTAGATTTTTTTTTGCTTTTTATTTGTCAGCCTTTCTCGCTTTTTCTTTCTTTTTTCTTTGTCATTTTGTTTCTTTTTCTCATCCTCTCTCTCTTTCTTTCTAAACTTTACACACTCTCTCTTTCATTCATAGCTAACGTTTTCTCTGTCACCTTTCTTGCTTACTTTTTATTTGTTTTTCTTTCTTTCTTTTCCTCCCTCATTTTTTCTATTTCTTTTCTTCTCTTTATAACTTTCTCTCTCTCTCTCTTTCGTTCTTTCTTTCTCTCATTTTTTCTATTTCTAAACTTTCTCTGTTTCTTTCTGTTTATAACCTTTTCTCTTTCTCTCTCTCTCTCTTTCTTTCTTTCTTTCTTCCTTTCTTTCTTTCTTTCTTTCTTTCTTTCTTTCTTCTCTTTCATTTTTTCTATTTCTAACCTTTCTCTGTTTATAAACTTTTCCGCTTTCTTTCTTTCTTTCTTTCTTTCTTTCTTTCTTTCTTTCTTTCTTTCTTTCTTTCTTTCTTTCTTTCTTCCCTCATTTTTTCTATTTCTAACCGTTCTCTTTTTCCTTCTCTTTAAAACCTTCTTTCTTTCTTTCTTTCTTTCTTTCTTTCTTTCTTTCTTTCTTTCTTTCTAAACCTTTACGCTCTCCAGCATATTCTAACATTTTCTCTTTAGCCTTTTTCTCTTACTTTTCCTTTCTTTAACTTTTCCTCTCTCACATTTCTCATATTTCTCTCTCTATTTCTCTGACTTTTTCTTTCATTTATTCTGTAATCTTTTCTCTCATCTACTTCCTCATCATTCCACTGCTTATCTAAATATACCCGCCTCCAATCTTTTTCTTCCCTCGGGGTTGCTAGTTTAGGCTACAAATAGTGAATTAAGCTATTTTTGAAAGCCCAGCATGAATTTTATTGACTTTTTCTGCTTCAAATAAACAGTATTAATTATATTTACCGGCCTGAATGTTCAAGAAGTTTCGTAAAAAATATGTGCTTCTCCAACAGGAATCAAACCTGTAACCCCAAGTGGCACAATCATTGTATCTGATGTGCTGGATACTCCGTTGGATCGCTAAAAAAAGAGCATAGCATGATTAAAAAGACGCCAAAGTTGATGAAAACAAAATTTTCGCGTCTAAATGCTTATGTTACTTTTTTAGAGGAAAGATCAAGTATTTTTACTTATTTTTTTGAAATTTTTCCTTCTTTTTAGAACATTGTAAATTTTGATTAAAAGACCTTGTTTCTCTTTTTATCAGCTTGGCTGATAAATTAACGTATAAACATTTTGGCACGTTTTTTCCCGTTTGACACACATTAATTTGGAAAATCTTGCAAAAAAATGAAAATAATTGTTGGATTTTAATGAAATTTTCAGAAACTATTTAAAATGATGGAACTTATTATAAATACATTTTTTAGTAAAGTCATCGCAGAAATTTTTTTTTTCCATATGTATTTACCCGCTCTAACTAATTGTGCGAAAACTCTATAATTTCAATTTTGAGGAGTTTACTGATTATATTAGTTAAAAGCAGAATGCTTTGAGGAAACAAAATCATGTTTTTTTTTTTTAGTTGGAGCCCTTCTACCTGAAAATCGTCTCTGAAGTGTAACATACAAAACTCAATAAAACAAAAATATTATTTAATTTCCAAAATTTTGAATTGCTTTTATTTATTCCAATAAACATGGACAATATTGTCTGAAAGCAAAAAAGATATTTCGATGAAAAATGAATTTTTAAAACAATTACCTACAATTATTTTTTTTTATTTCTGCAACCATTGTTTTTATTTTTTACATTATGTTGTTAATTCTTCTAAAATTATGGAAAAGCTTGTACAGCTTAACGGATGTTGTTTTTAAGTAGATATATATTTACAGATTATAATTTCCAAAGCTTATTACAAACTAATGAGTCTTCGTATATTAAAAAAAAATTAATTTGTCAATAATGTGTTTACCAATGAAATCTACGGAAGACCGGAAGTTTGGTGCGTGCAATAAAAATAACGTCACGTGGATTGAGTTTCTGTCTAGTAAGGGTTGTTCTTCGCTGTATACGGCCCTTAATTTAGAAAACTGTTCCTGCTGAAACACGTGTGCATCATTTTCATTAAGTTAAAATAGGTACTTTCATCTAGTTTTCATCGTAGTCCTGTAATGTTTGGTTGAAATTGGTTTGAAAAATGTAGGAAATTCGATCCAATATGTAAACGTAACACACACAACCTGGGTTTTATAATAAGTAAGATTCACATTTTGCCTCTAGAAAACTAAAAACTTATCAGTCATTTAGACTGGCCAATTTTACTTTTAAATGAAACATATTGTTTGCTTTCAGAAAATACCTAGTTTCATGGGATTCAGATAAACTTTCCCTGGTATTTTTCCAGATAAGTCATTTTTTATTACGTAAAAATATAAGAATCCATTTATTTATTTTTTCCGAGAATGTAGGCTGTGACAAAATGACTTTTACTATGTTTGATTATTTTTACTGGGGATAGAATTTTTTTTTATAATAGCAAATCTGAATTGACTTTGAGGGGTCTATATGGGCCCTCAAACAGCAGTGCAGCACTTGTATTTTAATTTTTTTTAATAGTATTTATAATTTCTCCAGATAGTATCAACAAACTTATGCTACATAGTACTTAACAAAAAAAAATTGTAATAGCGAAAGTTTTTTTACTTTAAATATTACAAGTTACTACTTAAGTAGGTCCGCTTAAAAAAATAATATGTCCATTCTGTGCTTCCGTATGGAAACTCGAATCTCACGTCAGCTGTCAATAATTTATAGATGTCATCACTCGGCACTCTGTCGATCGACGGCAACGTGAAGATCGGCTCTTTTATCTTTAAAAACATTTTTCTACGAAGAAAGTAAGTAAAAGTTTCTTTCAAAATATTTTAAATAAACTTCAAATTTTCTAAATTTCTTCGAATAAATATTGAAATACGTATAATTAATTTTTAAACGAATTTTAAACGAAGAATTTAACTTATTTTAAAATTTTTTAAAAATATGGCTGATATAGAGCTTTTTTTCGTTTTTTCTGTAAACAAGTTTTTTTAACTAAAATTTCGGACATGCTAAGAATGAGTAAAAAATTTCAAAAATTAATCAAAAAATACTTTAGTGTTTCTTCTCAATAATGAAATATACTTTTATCATGAAAAAAATTTTTTTCGTTAATTTTCAGACCGTTCTTGTCATGCTATCTATTTTCGCGAAAAAAAACGGAGTTCCCTAGAACCATTCAGCCACAAAGAAGCGTCTGGTTAGAAAAGTCTGAATTACTGTTTATAAACAACAAATCTTCGACGATCTTTCCTAAACGATCATATCTGCTCACGAAACGTACCTTAACGTAAACATTTACAATATATTATGAAATGGATTAACTTCAATAATTACTTATATTTTCTGTTTATACTCTATTTAGATACAATTTTTTATTTAAGTAAATGCTCTGTTTATTTTTAAATAAACAGTAATTATTAAATTAATTACATTTACTACTGGCCTGAATCCCCTGTGTGTGTGTGTATATATATATATATATATATATATATATATATATATATATATATATATATATATATATATATATATATTGTTCCTTCAGTTCTGTTTCAACAATTATACAAATTCTAACTAGACACAAGGACAAAAAGTTTAGATGTAAGAAAACAATTTATGCAAATCGTAAACGTTTTTAGGACATACAGAGTAGCCTCCCTTCTTTTGACAAACTGACTTTTATTCCCAGATCGCGACATTTCAGTAATGAAATTTAAATTTTTATTTTTGCATTATCCAAAATTTTAACACAGCAGATAGCTATTAATGTTAAAAATGAGCATAAATAGTTATTAATTAAAATAAAAATTAATTAATGCATAGTTTTAAATTTATTAATTAATAGAAAATAAAAGTAATTCATAAAATCAAAGAAACAAATTAAAATTGAGAAGAGTTAGAATAGCTAGTAGTAGTGAAATCTGAATCAAATAAGATATCTTCAGATACATTTTTATTTTTTTATATCCTCATATAAATTAACCATTTTTTGTATATACAACAAGGCATGGCAAATATTCAGCCTTCTACGTCTGACCGCAACGCCACATTTCACTTATTTTTCCACAATATAGTTATATGTGCTATGTTATAATGCTTATTACCTAAACAATAATAATACTGAATAATTTTTTTTTAACATTAAAGTATATTTAATCACATCTCCCTAATAGGTGTCGCGACCTGTTATTGAAAATATTATATAGATAAATGAATTGCCTCCCTTTGTAGGGGTCATTATCAGCGGCACCTGGGTTTGGCTGAAAGCAGCCTCTCACGGCCTCTTTTTTCCCTGTGCCACCGACGAGTCAACACGGACAAATTTAGCTCCGTAAAACTCAACCAGCAGCCACATGGTGTCCGAAAATGTAGCGGCCAAGAATACAACATAGGAACAAGGATGTCCCAACAGTTGCAGCAAAGCATCCGAAAACTGAATCCCTCTTCAACCTGAAGACGAATATATTCCGACGTTGCAGCAAAAATCAGAAGAACTGATGTTTTTTTTTGCAACGATTTTTAAACCCAATTTTTCTATCTTCTTTCTGATATAAAGCCTTTCTTTTTTCCACCCAAGTTTGGTGTTGTCCTGTTTTCTCTCACCGTGTCGCGTCAATGCTCTTTTTACCCTTATTTTCTACAGAAGACAAATTATTGGTCACAAAAATTCAAAGGGTATAAAAACCCGCATAATGTCAATGAATGATCAGTTCTAAAGAAAATTGTTGTAGATAATGAATATTTAATTCGAAAATAATTTTAATATTTCAAACTTTATTTGTATAATTCTCAGAACATTATAAGAAGAAATAAATTGTAGAAAAAAAATTATAGGGAGCAAATGCAAATAAAATTGGTTGTCTCAGACTGATCAATGTCCTAACTTAGATTGATTTATTTTTAATTAAGAATATTTATAATGCAAATATTTATTATTTTATATAAGAACATATTGCTGTGAAACTTATAAAAATTCAAATATAAGTAGATTCTTTTTCATGTTTTCTTAAAGTTTTTGCTTTAAAACATTTGTTCTGCAATAGTGAATTTTTCCGGAAATTAATAGTAAAAATAAATTGTAGTTTTACATTAAATAATTACTAAGGGTATCTGTCAATGTTGATGATATATCTATGTAACAGTATAGAGGCACGAGTAATAACAAATATGTTAAAATCTTCATCTGGGCACAATAGGTATGTAAGCAAATTTAAGAACTGTATGCGAAATAGTTTATGCAGTTTACATCTACAAGGTGCAATAGGTAATTTGTCGTCATTTTATATTTTTAATTTCGTACAGGTGCGTTGTTTGTTTTTAATTTTGTTAACTGCACAGCATAGTAGGGTCAGTTGGGCACCGTCTGTGAGAAAAAGAGCACCATGACGCAATTCACCCTACCAGAAATTTGGAAACGGTATGCTGTACTGCTTGGCATTTTACGCGGGAGACTCTAATACAGACATTTCAGGGTGTTTGGGTGTCAATCTGAAAACAGTGCAGAGGATTCAGAAAGAATTGGATGAGTCTCATGTCTCT